CACCACCGGAGTTACTGGATACACCTACGGGCTTCTGGTTTACACCACTGGTAATTATGTGAGCTCTCCAGGATAACCACTTCCGGACTTGTCAACGTTTACTAAGTTTAAAAAATATTTCGGATTTATTGATAACGACCTATATTTCCAAAAAATGTACATGAGAATTGTTGAAAAAAAATAAATTGCAATAAAGATTTGAACATTTAAATTTTATTATTTATTATGGGAAATTAACATAAAAATGATTCTTTAAACACAATTCATGTATAAATAAATCCCGATTATCAATCCCGATAATTATTTATATTTGAGATGAATTTTCAATGTGATCTTCAGTAAAGGTTCTGTAAATGCATCTTATTGGATACAAATAATTATATCTGATATAATTTTCTGTGCTAATGATACCATTTAGAAATTAATCATCATTTTTCTTATTTTACTGTTTTATAAAACCGAACATATTATTGTTACAAAAATCACAGATTTTACTTTATTTCAATTGATATTTTCATGAAACGTTTTATAATTTAACTTGAAGTCTCATAATTAATTCCCTATTAAAGCTAGTAATAGGTTTATACCATTCATTTTTATTAAAGGTATTATTTTAATTATTTTACCAATTAATTTAAAGTTTTTTATTCTTCATTAAAGAACATTGATATTTTTGCCAATTAAAAACTACGATATTAGTGTTCAGAATTTAAATTTTTTGTTAGTTGAAAATTGATGACTAAAGTTAAGATATGATGGATGGATATATTAGATCAAATATTATAAGAAATGAAAAATATAAACAGTACAATATGTATAACATAATAATATAAGTCCGAATCTATACCAAAAATGTAGAACCTATTTAAATACTAATTCGAGATTTAGACGTATTTAATACTTATTTTATATTTGGTATTTAATATTTTAAATAAATTGCTACAAAAATTACGTTTTACGTACAATTTTTGATCAGTTGGTTATTTGATTCGATGAGCATAAAAGAATATATTCTTTGCAGTAAAAATCATAAAAGCTCTAAAATGATTATTCAAGATGTGATATGAGAAATATTTAATTTTTAATTATGGAATAAAAATCTTATTAGTTTTTGATGAATAAAAATACATCAACCTATGAAAGAAATTTTTATAACTCAAAAGTTTTCGGATCAATTTTTACTGGTTATTACAATGTGCTTAATTTTTAACTTCCCGTAGGGTAAGTTATTGTAATCGTCCAAAAATCGGAATTGAAAATTTTTACATTTCTTCACGTTTTGAAGGTTTCTGAACATTTTGTCATACCTCAAAAAAAATGGATGTGTGTGTGTGTATGTATGTATAGATACAATTTTTTGTCCACGTTTTCGGGCGCACGGATCAACCGATTTGGATGATTCAAAAAACATTCCTTCCTATTGATAGAGAGATGTGCTGATTAGTTTCTGGCAAAGGCAGGTCTTCCGTTTTGGAGATACGGAGCAAAGAATGCAGAAAATATAAATCGAGATTTTGAGAGAACGGAGCATCCGATTTGAATGGTTAAGAAACATTCAATTTATAAGGACGGGGAGAAGTGGTGATTAGTTTTTAGGCAAAGGCTGGTCTATTTGTTTCGGAGATACCGAGTTAAATCCGCAAATAATTACAGTGTTTGATAGAACTAAGCATTCGATTTGAATGATTCAAAGAACTTTCTGCTTGTTTTAACAAAATAATTGATTTTGGAAAAAAATTTTAAGATTTTTAATTGTAATATTGACCTAATTTCTAATATAATTCAAACAAATATTTCAACTTTGCAATTCCGTTTATAAAATTTTATGAATACTCTATTTGAATATTCCTAGATCATTTTGTTACGATACGGAAGTTCCAGCAATTTCCCTTCAGGCACGATGCCATGCGCCCCACTAGTTTTCTCAAATATTAGGGTCACATACTAATATTGAACATTTTCAAACTCACTATTACGTGAATATTACGTAATTTAAGCGAGTAATTTTTTGAGTAAATTCTTTGTAAATATTGCGACATTCAACATTTTTTACCTTTGTCTAACATAATATTGTTAATCAATATCCAAATATAATACACTTTTATCACAATTTCACTTTTATTCAAAAGTGCAAGTGATAACTTTATTCTTTTTTTTTATTAAAGCTGCAATCAAAATTTCAATTATGCATCCCACTTTACTAGACAACCCAATGTTGTCCTACCTATTGTAGAAATACTCCGAAGGTCTATTTTGCTTGCAAACATATTTTGAAGAGAAGTAGTTTTGTGTAATATAACTGTAAAATTAAGTTACATACTTTTTATAAAATCAAAATCTTTCAAAATGATAAATGAAAAACAACTAGTTATATTGAATTATTGTATTTTATTGCAGTTATTTATTTTTTCCAAAGGTCACACAAATTTATAAAATATGGTCATCATCATTGAGGGCAGACAAAATCAAAAATCTAGAAAACGTTGACAAGTCCAGAAGAAGTGTATCCTGGGGAGCTGACATAGCTACCAGTGGTATAACCATTAAGTCCATTGGTATATCCACTAACGCCGTTGGTGTATCCAGTAACTCCGGTGGTGTATCCAACATTACCGGTGGTGTAGCCAGTGGTGTATCCAGTGGTAACTGGTGCGGAAACTACGCTGGTGGTGACGTAGTCATTAGCAAGATGCCCGGTGGTGTATCCAGTAACTGGAGTGGAAACAACGTTGGTGGTGACAAAGTCATTGGCAAGATGACCGGTGGTGTATCCAGTAACTGGAGTGGAAACAACGTTGGTGGTGACGTAGTCATTAGCAAGATGTCCGGTGGTGTATCCAGTAACTGGAGTGGAAACAACATTAGTGGTGACGTAGTCATTGGCAACGTATCCGGTGGTGTATCCAGTGGTAGCAACTGGGGCAGCCACAACGTTGGAAGTGACGTAATCAGTGGTGGTGTAGACTGGGCTGGTGGTTGCATAGGAAGTGGTGGTCACTGGAGCACTGACGACATTGGTGGTGACGTAGTCAGTGGTGGTGTACACTGGACTGGCGGTGGCGTAGGTGGTAGCAACTGGAGCGCTCACGTATTCAGTGACGTAGTCGGCGACAACTGGAGTAGATACAACAGCTGGGGTAGATACGACAGCTGGAGTAGATACAACTGGAGTAGATACCACATTGGTGGAGACATAGTCGTAAGCAACAGATGGTTGGCTGACGTAAGAGGTTGTCACTGGAGTGTTGACGTAGTCAGTGTAGGTGGTGGTGACTGGAGTGTTGACGTATTCGGTGTGAGCAGTGGTCACTGGAGTGGTCACATAATCAGTGGTGGTGTAGGTCACTGGGGTGCTGACATAGTCGGTAGAAGTGTAAGTCACTGGAGTGCTGACGTAATCGGTGGTGGTGTATGCAGTAGCTGGAGAGGAGTAAGTGGTAACTGGGCTTGCATATCCAGTGGTATAGCCGGTGGTGTATCCAGTACTGTAACCATTAAATCCGCAGTCCAATCCACCGCAACCAGAGGTGGTGTATACGCTTGGAGCACCTGTAGTTACAATTGTATCGCATGATTAAAATTACAGTAACTTAGTGTAAAATCTAGTAATTATTAGATAATATTTTTTATTACCTTGAACAAGAGCTCCAGCGAATAAAATAAAGGCTAAAGCAAAAGCGTTCATTTTGCTAGTTTTCAGTTTTTGCTAGTTCTGGACTTCTTCAGGATGCAACTGATGATGATGCTGGACAGAAGTAAGATCCAGCTTATATACCAAAGACCTGCTAATTTTTTCCCAGTAAATCACGATTTTGCGATTAAAATTGTTCACAATAAAATATAAAATAAGCACGTTTACATAAAAAAATTCAAATTTTTTCACGATTTTGATAATTTTGACTTTACTTAACTCACATAGTGTTATGCAAAACTTCAGTATAAATACTTGCACGAATTTTCAATTTAACATTATTTCCTTAAGAACTACGTAACACACCGCCAATTTATCACCTATTTAGCAGCAACAATTGTGCAAGATTCAAGTATTATATATTATCAAAATTTGACTTCAAGTAATATATTAATTGATGTTCATTAATTGTTATATTGATTTTTTATAGTATTCCTGTTTTATGAAGTCTGTCGTGATTGTATGTTTTAACATTTAGAGTATTTTTTACATTTAAAGTACTTTTTATATAAACACTATTTTATTAACTTCCCATAGGGTAAGCTATTGTAATGGGCCAAAAATCAAAATTGAAATATTTTACATTTCTCGACATTTTGAAGGTTTCTGAACATTTTGGCATACCTCAAAAAAAATTGATGTGTGTGTATGTGTGTGTGTGTGTGTGTTTTGTATGTCCGCATTTTTTCGTCCATGTTTTCAGGCGCACGGATCAACCGATTTGAATGGTTTGAAAAACATTCGATTCCTATTAATAGGGAGATGTGCTGATTAGTTTTTGGCAAAGGCAGGTCCAGCCGATTCGGAGATACGAAGCAAAGAGTGCAGAAAATAGAAATTGAGTTTTTGAGAGAACGGAGCATCCGATTTGAATGATCGCAGAAACATTCAATTTGTAATGAAGGGGAGAAGCGGTGATTAGTTTTTGGCAAAGACAGGTTCATCGGTTTTGGAGATACAGAGCTAAATGTGCAAAGAATGGCAGTTTTTGAGAAAATCAAGCGTCCGCTTTGAATGATTCTAAATACTTTCTGCTAGTTTTAACAAAATAATTGATTTTGGAAAAAAAAATTTGCTTCATAATATTTTTTTAAATTTTTTTTTCCAAAAAATATTTTTTTTTGTATATCGAAAATAATTCAGATTTTCATTATAATTCTGTTCTAATATACTTTAAATGAATAATTTAAACTTTCCAATTTATTTTATATAATTCTTATAAATATTCGACAATGTTACAATATTTATAATAATCGATTTGAAAACATTCAATATTCCTTGAACATTTTGTTACGGTACGGAAAGTTCCAGCAATTTGCCCACTAGTTTAATATTTCGGTATAAAATACATTCATATCTATTTTTATTATATATCATATTATATTTTGCTTAATTATGATTTCATTATTTATATTATAATTCAATAATTTTTATTTTTGCTATATTAGTTTTTATGGTAATCTTCTAATCAAGATTATGTTCTTGACGAAGATATTCTGAAGATGCAACATGCATAGTTCCAAAACGTTAACAATAAATAATATTTTTTTAAAAACTTTTTGGCTTTTTATTACTATTGGTTTAAATCTAAATGATGCCTAATAAATTTAAATGAAAGAAATAATTTTCCTAATGAATTTAAATAAAATGAAAAATTTGCAAATTATGAATGACTATATTCCAATGGATGAACTTATATTGAAAGATATGCATGAGTGTGGATTTAAAAAAAAAAAAACAAATAGAAAATTTGAATTCAAGTTTCAAGTATCAAGAAAAGAAGCCTGAAAAAATATGTACGAATAAAATTTTCTTGAAATAATTCAATGATTAAAGTTTTGTAATTAATTTATTTATATCACAAAAAAATTATAATTATTTATTATAATTATTACTATTACTAAAGTATATTTAAAACCACTTTACTACAATTTGGTAAATTTGGTCATAGATCATATAATATTAAATTATGTATTCAATAATAGAAAAGCATTTGTGAATAATATGAATTGTGCACAAACAATATAGAAAAAATATTTTACAGATTTAATTCTATTGGAAGTGTTCATTATATTTTCATTTTGGTCAATATAGTTATCATAAGAAAATGTTGTGTCTGCAATTTCTGGAACATCTAACACTCCATAGTCTGAAAAATAATTTTGAAAATTTTCTAAAACAAAAACAAAAAACAAAACAAACTCAAACTAAAACAAAATCTACATTATATTAAAATTTTGTTATTATCTTGATAATAATTTCAAAAATAATATTCTAATAGTTAATTTTAGCCATTATTAAACAAAGTTTTAATGAAAAAAACATGTAAATCTAAGAATATATGTCAATAAATCATACCAAAACCAATATTAAAATCAGTGCCAATCATAATATCCGAATATGGTGTGTTTGTGTCAGACACAAAAATATTTTCTATATATTCCAGAAGATAGTTTGGATCTAAAATTTTAGTTTCCTTATCTGAAATTAAATTATATTTATATATATATATATATATAAATATATATATATATATATATATATATATTTAAAATTTACCATTTGTTGATTCAATATCTAATAATGGATATTCATTTTCATTCCAATCCACAAAGTGTCCTCGGTGAATATTTGGATAAAAATCACCACTTACTACTAATAAAATAAAATGAAAAAAAAATTACTATGTTTTAAATTATCAATACAAAAACCAACTTTATCAATTAATTAATAATAATACTACTTTTTGTAATTTATTTATATAGTATTTTCATATCTCAGTCAGACAGGGGTGTCTGGTATGAGAGAATATGAAACAATTTTCATATTATATATACACATATTATTTGTCTATTTTATTATACAATAATATAATATCTATTATAATTTATAACATATAAAATTAATTCATAACTATAAAATTTTGTACAAATAAAATAATCATAATATATAGAATTTGTTTGTATTGTGTTTAAGGTATTCTAAAAATGACACAACAATAAAACCACAATATTAATTATAGAAAAATATATCAAGAAATAAGTGATTTTATATGCCATAAATTACAAGACAATATAATTACATAAACTAAATAATAGTTTTGCTAATTTTATACAAATAATAAACAATTTACCTACTATGCACATCATAAAAAGCCAAATTAAATAATTCATTTTGAAAATTTGCTAAAAGTTTTTAGAACACCACATTTCTAGTGAAAATTGAAACACCACATACTAATAATTAACTAATTACATAAATCTTTTTAAAATGTATTTTATAAAAATATTTTTGCGCAAAAAGTTGCTCTCAGTAACACATCTTTTTTAGTAATGACATCTTCAAACGTTTCTTGAAACAAGAACGTGACTTTTCTCAAATTATGAAGAAAAATCAAACATTTGATGATATTAGTCATGCTTTATCTAAATCCAAAAATGTTCCAAAATTTCCATTACAACACATGATAATATTTGACTTTTGGAAATGGAAACTTCAATTGTCTGTGATTTTTATATATATTTATTAAGAAATCCATATATATATAGGAGTTATTATTTCTGGGGATATTTTTTGAGTCGTTGCAAAATTTGATAAAAAATGAAAATGAAGTTCTTTGTTTTATTTGCTGTGTTTTGTGCAGTCTTGGCAGCATCACAAGGTATATATTTATCAAATAATTTTGCATTAGTAAAAAAATTTAAAAAAAATGACAAGTCATGTGATCTGATATTTCACTAAAAAACTATACTTGGTACCTTTTCAAACAACCAAATAGATTTATAGATTATTATTTATTTACTTGATTTTACACCACGGTTTGTATTTTTGTACAAGTACAAGTAAAAACAAGAAATAGTTTAAGATTTGTATTTGATATCAATTTGACTATCAATTATATTTGAACTCAAAAATGTATTTCTATTAATTCAGGTGATGACTCTATGCAAGTAGGAGCAACAGTTCCTACCAATGTAGGTACAAGTTCTGCCCAAACTGGGAATTTGGATCAAAATTCTGCTAGTAATGGAGTTGGTGCAAACCTTGGCCAATCTGGTCAAAATATTGGTGGCCAAGTATCTTTACCAAATTTAGGCCAAGACTCCAACAAGGGCGGTCAAAATAGTTTAAGTGACCCTCTTCAACCTGGTCAAAGTAACAATGGGCAAAATAGTGTTGGTCTTAATGGCAATGATCCAAATAATAATGTCCTGAATAACTTGTTAAATGGATCAAATGATGGTGATAATGGCAATGGGCAAAACGTCCTCGATGATATTGGCAGTGCACTTGATAGCAATGGGTTAATTGGACAAAATAACAACTGGCCTTTTATGAATGGAAATGGATTCAATTGGCCAAATGGTAATGGATATTATAGCAATTGTCAAAACTTTAATGGTCAAGGCAATAATGGTAACAACTGGCCCTTTATGAATGGTTTAAACTCATATGGTTATAATGGCAATGGTCAAAATAATGGACCAGGTAATGGATTCAATTGGCCAAATAACAATGTGCATGGTAATGGATTCAATTGGCCGAATAACAATGGACAAGGTAATGGATTCAATTGGCCGAATAATAATGGACAAGGTAATGGATTCAATTGGCCTAATAACAATGGACAAGATAATGGATTCAATTGGCCAAATAACAATGGACAAAACTCTAATGGCCAGAGCAATAATGAATACAGCTGGCCTTTTTTGACTGGTTTGAATACAAACCAGAATAACAACGGATTCAATTGGCCAACTAACAATTTCAACAATGGAAATCAACAGCAAGGTTTTGGTTGGCCAAATGGAAATAGCCTCAACAATGGTTATAATCCTTACCAAAATAATTATAATAGATATTATAACAATGGACAAAATGGTTTCAATAGACTATTGAATAATTTCAATAATAATATATGGAACAATCCATATACTAGCATGGGTTTGTATAACCTCAATGGAAATAAAAATGGATTCAATATCTTCAACTCTAACAATTACAATAATGGATTTGGTTCTTGGCCTTTCAATAATGGACAATATAGTAACTATTTAAGCAATAATCTTTTCAATTCTAATAATGGTTTATTTTCCAATGGATTCAACAATAATTTAGGTCTGTCCAATAGATACAACACTGGTTTCAATGGTCCTTGTTACCAAAATGGTAATGGGTTGTTGAATTTAGGTTTTTAATTTCATATTTGTTAAAATATTATGATTTGTAGATAAAGACATTAATAAAATTTTGCATTCGATAATATATCTTTTAATTATACCAAAATTGCAATTATTAGAATTAGTAGTTAATTATTACCCATGATACAAATTAGTTTGATTGATATTAATTTTGACCCATGATACATATATTAGTTTGATTGATAAGTATTAACTTTTCAATAAATACAATTTGATAATAATGAAATTTTCAGTTAACAAAAAATATTATTTTTAAAATATTTGTTAAATATTTTTGTAATGAAATTTTAAATTTTGCATTTACCTTAAACCAAATAAATGTAATTCTATAATTCATATACTTTTTTTTGAAGCAAAATTTGCAATTTGTATTTCAAATCAGTTTTTAAATTCTTATAATTTTACATTTGTATTATTAAAGTTACATTTAAAATTTGTAGTCATCTATTATTATTTTATAGTAAATTTGTTTCGATTTCTGAAAATAATATTTTGAACTGAACCACTTAATTTTAAACTATAATAAAGCTAAAAATAACTAAATATATATATGCTACTTTTTTATTCTAAAGATCCAATGCTGCTTAATGAAACTTATAATATTATATCTATATTATTCTGGTTAATTTTAGGACTTGTGATATCTACCATTAGTTCTATGAGAAATTTATATATAAATACTTATTATTTTGTTGCATAATAATGAATAATAAAAATTCATTATTATGTTAATAATTATGGTTTTTATTTTGTTTTGATTATTTTATATATAGATATAAAGTATGCTTCTAATTGTAAGTAAAAATAGTCCTTCTAAAATTATGAATTTATTAAATAGAGAAATAGAGAAATAAAAATATATAAAATAGAGAAAGTCATTTGTGTTCCATTATAAAATGCTCACAGAACTAATTTGTGAATGCTTTTTGTTATAGTAATCGCAAAAAAATCGAAATTGAATTTTTTTTATAAATCTTTACGTTTCAGAGGTATCTGAACATTTTGGAAAACCTTAGAAAACATGGATGTAAGTGTGTGTGTGTATGTGCGCGTGTGCCGATACAAATTTGTCGACGATTTCGCGAACACGGATCAACCGATTTGAAAAATTAAAAAAACATTCTTTGAAACTCGCTTTGATATTTCGACTCCAAATCAGCTATGCAGCACGATTGCTTAAAAAAATGTTCAAAATTTTCAAAAAAAATCAAAACATTAAAAAAATCCTATTTTTCAATTTCAATATTTCTCAAAAATCTAATTTTTCCAAAGTTTTGCAAAGTTTTTTTTTATTAATTTAGTTCTGATACAGAAAGTTCCACCAATTTGCTGAAAGGCACGATGTCGTGCACCACTAGTTATTTTTATATAAATAATTTTGCTAACTAATAATATAGTTTTTCTTTGAAAAAACTGTTGTATGAATAATTTAATAATGACATAAAATTGATTATTGCTAATAGAGATAACGATTACTAATTCAATTACCTATTACGTGACATTTACCAATTTTTTATTTCCATTTTTCCATTATTATGCAACAAATCTGATTTATACGAAAAATTCCGCTCGTCAAAAACCAAAGATTTTTCATCTGTAAAATGCACGAGAATATTTCAAAACTTACACTAATTTACTGCTGTTTTAATATTTTTTCTATTGAGATTTCTGATATATAAGCAGACTTATTTTTAGAAATCTTCAGTCAAGTTTGGACTTTTAGTTGAACTTTCTTGCGGGAAAATGAAATCTTTTGCTTTGTTGATTGTTCTTTGTGCCTTTTTGGCAGTATCACTTGGTAAGTAAAAATAAGTAATAAAAATTGGATAAAATACATTTTAAGGAGCACAACTATTATAACCGCCTAAAAAAAGGTGATTTTTGGGAATTTATATTAAAAAAACTACTTCATCAATCATTTCAAAATTTTAGGAATATATTTATACATGTTTTAAAAATACAAAGTAAAATTGTTGAAGAAAAAAATTAAATATTTTTTAAGTTATCGTCGATCTCCAAAGGCGAGAAAAAAAAGGCCCTTCACTGCTGCAGTGATTCCGGCTTCTAAGTAGATGTAATCTAGAAAAAAAACTATCATTAAACTAGATAATATTGTCTGTAAAATAAACTGCGGTGAAGAAAAAAAATCAAAAACTGACAAAATGACACCGTTTTTTTTTTAAAAAGTCGAATTTTACCCAAAATCTTGGTCGTTTTTGGACTGCCAAAATTCGATTTTTGATCCGACCAAAAAATCGATAAGTCATTTTACGGAGAACTATATATAAAACATGTACAAAAAATTTGATAGTGACTGGATCATTTGTTTTTGAGTAATCGCTGTAGCAAATTCGGAAATTGCTGTTTCGAGAAAAACGCGTTTAAAGATTGAATGATCGTTATACTATATACTATATATATACACTCTTTAAATGGCTCTGACTCAAAAACTATTTAAGATATCGATTTAAAATTTTGGTATGTTATTTTTAAAGGTGTAACCTATCGAAATAACAAAATTGAAAATTCGATTTTTTGAAAATTTCACACTAGTTGTGCCTCTTAAGCTGTACTTGAACTTTTCCATTACTAAATCATTTATTCTTTTTAGGTGATTCCCACAATTCGTACCAAGTAAACCCACTGACTTCAACAAACTACAACCAACTTTCCAACTACGACCAATACAGCAATTATTTGAACAATTACAACTTGCAAAACAGTGAAAATTACAACTCAGGAAATTATTTGAACAACTACAACGGCAATTATGGCTCAAACAACAACTGGCCTTTTTACAACAACCAATATTACAACTCTTTGAACTATAACAACGGTTATAACAATAATGGTTATAACAATAATGGTTATTACAACTACAATAACTATAACCAACAATACAATAACGGTCAGTATGGTTACAACCAATACAATAATGGACAATATAATTATGGTCCATACAATAATGGATACAGTCAATACTATAATGGACAATACAATAACCAATATTACAACCAACAATACAGTGGCATGAATAATTATGGATTGGGTGGCAACAGTTGGCTTAATAACTATTTAAATAACTATTATGGCTATAATAACATGAATGGATATTACAATGGATTCAATAACGGATATAATGGATTCAATAATGGATACAACAACGGTTATTACAACTCTAATGGATACAGTAATGGTTACAACAATGGATTTTACAATTCCAACGAATACAATGGATTTTATAATAGATACAACAATTATAATGGATACAACAATGGATACAACAATGGATACAATCCTTTTAACTACCAATTAGGAACTGCATATTGAATGATTCATAGATGACTTTATAACAATGATTTTTTTTATTAAAGTAATCAACAGCCAAATAACCTAAAACAAAATTATATGCATTTTATAATTGTGCTTTTTATTGTAATATATTATAATAATATGTAATAATTTTATTATTTGTTTGTATGATTGATTTAAATAAAACTGCTTTCCTTGATTATGATTTAGCATTTGAAATCTTTGTGTTTAATACTCAATTTCTTGTAGAATTTGAATCAAAATTACCATAATTATAAATTATTTAATATTGAAATTAAAATTTTAATAAAATTACTATACCCCATAGTATAGTGATATACTATACCTTATACTGTAAGAATTTGCACTGAAGATGAGACATACCTTAGCCTCGAAATGTTTCTAACCAAAAATTGCAGAAATATGTTGAATTTCTACTAAATAAATAAATAAGAATAAAAAAATGTATTATTTTCATTACTAAAATTTTGGGTTTTATACAAGTAAATAATTTCTGTACCTTCATCGCCTTCAAATGTAAGATCTGTATTTGGTATATAAAGTATCAGAGCCATTTACTGTATACATTTTTATATAATTTATTTATTTTGAAGGCAATCTTTGAATAAAGGTTTTATTGTTAGCGTCATTAGAAAATTGTTGATTTGGAATTGTGGATTGTTGATTTAAAAACTATTAATTTCATCAATTAATTTAATCTCAAATCTTATTGATTAAGTAGATTATTTACACTTGTCTTAAGGTAAAATGCCACGAACAACAACTCATTTTATACACTCATAGCCTCAAAATATTTCAAACATCATGAATTTTGAGAATTTATTTGTATTTTTTCAAAATTAGGAATCAAATAGACTGGTTGAAAATTAATTTATATTTGAAAAAATTAATGTGATACTAAGTTGTTGAGTCTAAAACTGATAAATAAATGAATGCATTATATAATGAAAAAAAACATAAATTGTATTTGAATTTATTTTTTATTCCAAAATTTACAACCAAGTGTAAATATTTACAAATTGATTATTGCTTATAGAAGTCCTCCTAAGAGACCACTTCCTACGGTGTCTCCCAAACCACCCAGGACACCACCTAATACTACATTGCCCACATGATCAGTCAAACCATGTCCATTAACAGTGCTGGATGAACTTCCAGACGAAGAATCCATTTTGTTTATCCTTTTATTAATGAACATAAAAATTAATAATAAAATAGATCAAACTATCAAAATTTTCACCAATTAACTTGAAAGTACTTACATTTTTGAAATAACTTTCTTTTGGTCTTTAAGTTGGTCTGGAAAAAATGAAATTGATATTAAGAACTTACTAAATAATTCAACTTTGTAGCTAAAAGGTAAAGAACTTGTATGAGTTATCTACTACTATTAGCATACTGAAATATTGCAGAAATACCTTGCATGATCTCTTGTTGTTCTTCTGGATCCAATAAGTAGGCATATCCATTCATCGGAATGCCCATACCCATCATACCATTAGCTAACATAGCATTGCTCAACATAGGGTTCATCATCATATTATTTCCCATCATGTTACTATTGGAATATTCCATTTGCATGTTTCCAAATCCATCAGAATAGTATTGGTTAAATTCGGTTCCAGTAAGTCCAGTTTGGTAATTTACTTCACTTTCTATAGGATTTCCGAACATGTCATATTGAGTACTTTGCACAGACGTTTGCACATTTCCATATAAATCGGTTGTTGAAACTTGGGTTTGGCTATTTCCGAACATATCCATTACCGATTGAATGTTACTTGCGCCACCGTCCGTTAATTGGGTAGATTGGATAACACTGTTCCCGAATTGATCAGTTGAGATAGATGTTGAATCTGAAATAATTTGTGATTTTTCCGTTAAAACAATACCTGCATTTATCTTTGATTGATGTAAAATTTTGCTATTTTACTTTAGTAGTATTCATATACCTCCATCATATAATAGCCCATTCATTAGTGCACTATTGACCATTCCATTTGCTAGTGCTCCATTTATAACTCCATTTGTTAACGCACCATTGACAATTCCATTAGTCAGTGCGCCAGTGGTAAGTCCGTTAAGTGCACCATTTGTAACTCCATTAAGGGCACCATTTGTAACTCCATTAAGTGCTCCATTGGTAACTCTAGTTAGTGCACCAGTGGTAAGTCCGTTGAGTGCACCATTTGTAACTCCATTAAGAGCTCCGTTAGTAATTCCATTTAGTGCTCCATTGGTAACTCCGTTCAGTGCTCCATTGGTAAGTCCGTTTGAGAGTCCATTCGTTAAACCACCAAAACCCATGCCACCATTCAATAATCTAAACATATGTATAAATATGTTCGCACATAACACATTATTACAATAGCCATTATTTAAGTTTAAAGGGCTATTTTTTCAATTGTTTTGTATTTTTGCAACTTACCACATACTAAAGTAATTTTACAAATTTTACTTACCCGCCAACCTGTGGTTTAGGCAATCCTAAAAGCAACACAATAATTTGAAAAACGACAAACGTTTAATATAAAATATTTTTTAGCACAATCATTATTATTACTTACCATGGTTTTGCTTGATTGACAGAACAAAAATCAAAAAAATACCCAAAGATCTCATTTCGCTGATTGCTATGTCAAAAGCCAACGAAAATAAATACACAAAAAACTTTGGCTTCAGATTTTATATTTACCACTGTTATCAAATATTTATAAGACCTAATAAAAATCGTGAGAGAATTTCTCGTGTTTTAGAATAAGAATCACGTAATTCACATAATCTCACAATTTGGTAACTGTTCAAAAATTTAGTGATAAAGCATAGTTATGAACAGGTAATCATAAACGAAATAGTTTCTATTTTCAATATTGGTTAAATAACACGAATATTATACAATTCCACGTTTTTGTAAAACATAATTATATTTTTAAATAGATAATGATAATGTTTTTTGTTCAAACAGCAAGCAAAACTTTGCGCGTTCACAAGTACATGCATTGGATGTTAAGTTTGATTTGTCCGAAACAAAAATTAAGAAAAAAACAGTTCTCGAAATGAGTGCAGTTTATTTAGAATAAGTGGTACTATAAACAATTTTTTTAGATATATAAATACCCTAAATCATTTTAGTTATTATTATAATTCAGTTGAATCATGTTTTCTTTATGTTGTTACATGATAAATACTTATGGATATTTGCTTAAATAATTCCTAAGTCTGAAATTCCTAAGTTGTCTCCAACATCACCAAGAACATCTTTAAAAAGTAAAATGCCAACATGTCGGCCCAAAGAAATCTTATTATCCTTCGATGAACTTCCTGAAGTATCCATTTTGTTTATCCTTTAAAAAAATAAAAAAACGATTCAATCAATAGGAATCACATAAGAAATAAATAATAATAAATTTTTGAAATAAATTTTTATGTATTTTTAAAGCAATTTTTTATATTTTATAATTTTATGAGTATTCTAATTCAATTAAATTCACAACTTTTCTATGACAAATGGACAGCAATCTGTTGTAACACATCTGTTGTAATATAACACTTCTATATGGAAACAAACGAAACATTACTTACATTTTTGAAATAACTTTTTTTTGGTCTTTCAGTTGGTGTGAAAAAAAAAGATGAAATTGATAATGAAAAAGTTTTTAGCTTAATAATAAGGAATTTGATTGATTTATTTATAATCATCAGTACAGTCAAATATTACAGAATTACCTTGCATGATCTCTTGTTGTTCCTCTGGATCCATTAAGTAGGCATATCCATTCATCGGAATTCCCATACCCATCATACCATTGCCTAACATAGCATTTGCTAACATAGGATTTATCATCATATTATTTCCCATCATGTTACTATTGGAATATTCCATTTGCATGTTTCCAAATCCATCAGAATAATATTGGTTAAATTCGGTTCCAGTAAGTCCAGTTTGGTAATTCACTTCACTTTCTATAGGATTTCCGAACATGTCATATTGAGTACTTTGCATAGACGTTTGTACATTTCCATATAAATCAGTTGTTGAAAATTGGGTTTGGGTATTGCCAAACATATCCATTACCGATTGAATGTTAGATGCTCCAGTGCCATCATATTGGGTAGATTGGATTGCACTATTGCCGAATTGATCAGTGGAGATAGATGCTGAGTCTGAAACAGTTCATGATTACTTATGTTTATTTGCAGTTGATATAAAATTTGCGTATTGCACTTTACTAGCATTCATATACCTCCATTATATAATAGTTGATTCATTAGTGCACCATTAACCATTCCATTTGTTAGTGCACCATTTACAACACCATTTGCTAATGCACCATTTGCCAGTCCATTTACTAATACACCATCGGAAATTCCATTAAATGCTCCATTGGTAACCCCATTGAGTGCACCATTGGTAAATCCATTTAGCCCACCATTTGTAACTCCATTTGTTAAACCACCAACACCCAGTCCACTATTTAATACTCTAAACATTTGTATAAATGAGTACATTTTTTACTACAAAAATTATTACAATACAGAACCATTAAAGAAATAAAATAGATTTTACAAGTTTTACTCACCCGCCGAGTTGTGGTTTAGGCAATCCTATAATCAACATAATTGATCAGAAAAATCATAATTCAAAATATCAGTTTATATAATAAAATCAAATGTCAAAAGAAATCCAATTTAAAATTATTATTATTACTTACCATGGTTTTGCTTGATTAACAAAACAAAGGCCAAAAAAATGTCCAAAGATCTCATATTGTTGATTACTTTGGAAACAATCAATAAAAATAAATGCACATAATATTGGCTGCAGATTTTATATTCACCACTGTCAACTAATTATTTATAAAATTTAATAAAAATCGTGAAAGAATTTCTCGTGTTTAAGATTTGTAAGCACATAATTTCACGTAATTTACATGCTCTCACATTTTGAAAAATTTTATGGTTATTTAGGATGATCATAAAAAACAGATGAGTCATATACTAAATATTTTTAACATAACAAATTTTATACAACACCATCAATATTATTATTATTAGGTACGATACCATATTATATTTTTAAATTTTTGCGAATAGTGTTTTTTGTTATAATAACACACACACACAAATATATATATATATATATATATATATATATATATATATATATATACAGGGTGGCTGATATGTATTGCAACCAATTTCAGACCGCTATCATTTCTAAACCGCTCATCAGACAGATGACAGATTTATTCCAGTGATTGTTTATTTAATTGTTTACAAGCGTACAAAAGCATTTTGATCTATTGCATTCAGAAAAAAAGTTATTCGTGATGGAAGTCAAGCGTGATAGTGCGATTGCTTCATACTTGGCTGAAAAACCTTAGGTGGCTATATTTCGAGCCCTCCAGTATTTAAATGCGAACAAATATTTTGTTTCTCGTACCATATCTCGTAACGGTGATACACTCAGTGTTGCACCGCGTCCAAAAAGTGGACGCAAAAAAACACTAACAACCCCAGAAATGATCCAAAAAGTATAGGCAAAAATCAATCGAAATTCGTGTCGCAGTGGTAAAAAAATGGCCCGTGAGCTGAACATATCGCTAAAACGGATGCAACACATATTGAAAAATGAGCTTGAACTAAAACCATTGAAGATCCAAAACGTGCAAGAGCTCATTGATGCACAAAAAAAAAGTTAGACAGAAAGAAGCTAAGGGGTTGCTTCGCTTGCACGAAAGTGGCTAGTTACCGAATTTGGTTTTCTCAGATGGGAAGTCCTTCCAAATCGAGCAGTTTGTGAACAAACAAAATGATAGGGTTTACTTGCCAAAAAGGTCAGCTAAAAATTTACACCTTCGATTGACCACCAGAACTCGAGCGCCGCCGACGGTAATGGTGTGAACCACCGTAACGGCCGATGGTGACATTCCACTCTTATTCATCGACCGTGGGATCAAAATAATTGCCGAAATTATCGGGAAAATGTCTTAAAGGCAGTATTGAAGTCCTGGGTAGACAAAAATTTTGATCGCAGACCATGGTCATTCCAACAGAACTCAGCACCATCAAACTCAGCACGCGCCTACCAAAAATGGCTTATAAAAGAGGTTTTTCGCTTCATTTCCATCGCACAATAGCCACCAAGATCTCTGGATATAAATTTGCTGGACTTTTGTGTCTTGGACATTTTGAAGAGTAAGGTTCGCACTAAAAAATACCAAAGTGTCGATCATCCCAAGAAGGCGCCTCGCCGGGAATGGGCCAAAATACCCCAGAGCCACTTTCGTGCAGCGTGTTATGGTTTTTCTGCCGTTTGAAGGCCATAATTTGTGCCAAAAGTGGCCAATTGGAACAAATATGAACAAATTCTGAAATTTGATGTTATTTCTGATATTTTTGCTTTTGAACAATGAAATTTAAAATGAAAATGACAAAGTTATAGCGCTTTACTTTGTTGCAATACATATCAGCCACCCTGTATATATATATATATATATATATATATATATATATATATATATATATATATATATATATATTGAAGCAATGTCCCGAAATTATATTTTCACTTGTAATCATTTATGATGTATAATCCCAAATGAATTTATGATATCACCACTACTCGATATCATGCTGTCTTAGATACGTGAAGTGGTTATAATTAATAATTAATATGCTGTACATAATAATTATTGTTGTTCATGTAGTTACACATTATAAATATTCTTTTCTTAGGAATTTGAAAATAAACTTATGTTTATTGCAAGTAATTAATGAATATAATTATCTTTGGGTAAGGTTGAAATTATAATGTAATAAACATATAAAATTCATAAGAAAATTAATAAATCTTAATGGCTATACATAAATATGATAACTTTAAATAATTGCCATTAGTCTAATCAAACTAATAGTTCTACTCAACGTCGCTGTTTCGCATTCAACCCAACAATTGGCCTATATGATTTACATATTTTTATGAAAAGATAACCTCTAGTTTCTTTTTGTAATGATTTTGATAGAAGAATTTAGAAGAATTGATAGCAGATCGAGAAAAGGCTGTTTTTGCTTCGCGCGAAGAACTTGAAAAGTATCGACACTGGGCTGCAGATTTGGATGACGGAAAAGTGCAGAGTTTATAATAATTAATAATTAAGTGAAGAGTTTATAATTATTAAGTACATTAATATAATATTTATATATATATATATATATAATATAATATAATATTAATTAATAAAATTTAATCACATTTTATTGAACTATTTATAAATTTATAAAATGAAATTAATAAAAATAAATGATATATTTTACCTTGCAGCAATTCGAAAAAAGATTGTAATCACTAGGAAACTTCTTGAACTATATTTTCAGGTACAAATTAAGATAAGTAATAATGTTATCAGTGATGAGTAGTTTATATATATATATATATATATATATATATATATTATAATTCACAAATTAATGAATTAAAAACTATATTATTGAAATCGTTCAAATTTGAAATTTATTTTTTCAAATCATACATTAACAGAGATTCTATTAAAATTTCCTGAAATCAGCCCAAAAATCCCAATAAGCCATTACTATTGGTTAAACCTAAACTGCCTAAAAGGCCTCCGTTGTTGGAATTATATTCGTAATTACCATTACCATAAAAATATGGGTAGAAATTATTGCCATAATATCCATTGTAAAATGGATTATACCCATTGTAGAATGGATTATATCCATTATAGTTGTATCCATAGCCGTACCAATAATTTTGAGGCCAGTTGTAGTTGAATCCATTATAGTATGAATTAAATGGATTGTAATATGGAGCGCTATTGACTGAAAATTATTATAATAAAGAAAACTTGTTAGAATTATAATACCGATCGTGAAGTTTATGCAACTTTTTTTAAGGCAGATTGCACTTGTTTACATTTTATATTACCACTTACCAGAAGATACTGCCAAAACTGCGCAGAGCAAAGAGAACAACACAAAAGTCTTCATATTTTCAAGCTTCTTGGGAAAGTTGAGAACTCAATTGACGAAATCACACATTTTTGTTGCATTTATATAGGCAAATCTTCTTAAAATATTGAAACGAAATAATATCACAAATAAAAATATGAACATATGAAGAGCTCCAGAAATCTAAATTTTATCATGAACTCAGTTCTACAGAAAGTTCCAAAAACTTTCCATAAATTATCTAAACAAAATAATACAAAACGTGATAGTTATATTTCTTTTAAAAAAGATCAAAGACGAAGTTTGAGTATACGATTGTTTTGAAATAATTACATAATTTGAAAATATGTTTGTAAGGCAATTCATTTTTTTTTTCAGCAAATATTTTTTGCTTTAAAAAATGGATTGGTACAATAACTTTAGTAGTCGCTTTATATAAAGCAGGTATAATCGAGGTTTGAACATATTTCAGTTGATAATAAACATAATTTTAAAATAATCTACAATCATTTGTACAAGTTAATATATTTATAACAGTAAATGTTCATTAATAGATTTTAATACACGTTTTTATTACTTGACTTTGAAAGGACTTGTTTTTTTTTAAAAAATCGCAACAAATATAAATGAACTTTCTGATACTAGGTAAAAAAATTAACTCTTATTATTAATTTGCCTTATAATTAACTCCCCATAGGGTAAATTATAGTAATAGCAAAAAAATCTAAAAAAAATTTCATCTTTACTTTTCAGAACCTTCTGGCCATACCTTAGAAAAAAATATGGTATATGCCATACTATATGGTATGCCATACTATATGGTAGTATGTGACCATTGTCGACAAGATAAAGATACTTCCCTAGTTATGTAAAATCTAAAACTCAGCTGTTATCCGTTTCACATAAAATAATGTTTCCTAAAATATAACAATAAGTTATGTTCGTTCTTAATGAGATGGTGATGGGAAGCAGAATGCGAATACGTGAGAATGTCATTTTTTGTTATTTACGTAAATATTTTAAGTATTGCAAAAATAGTTTTAAATCGTGATTGCACAAGTATATATAACACTAGACATTCTTTGTGTAAGACACTTTGTCTCTCAAATGGTGTTTGTGTTTGAGCAGTGCTTCAGGAAAATGAAATTTGCAGTTAATTTTATTTGGCTTTGCTCGATACTTTGCATCGCAAACGGTGAGTATTTATACATTTTGTTATTGATTTTTGGTTTTACTCTTTATCAATTATTTATCAAAAATGCTTCGTTCAAAATACACATGCTTCAGAAAAAAAACCATTAAATTTTAGGTTCTTTACTATTTTTGTATTATAATCTGCTAATTTATTTTATTAATATATATCGAATGGTTGTGATTCATTAATTTGTAATCCACTGTTGCAATCTGCCAAATAATATAATTTCTTCTATTTTTTTTTAAATTATGTTTAATTTTTATCGTGATGCTTTCGAATTAACTTTGATATTTTTTGTTTTAGGTGTACCATTGGGATTAGGGTATGTATTCAAAAAAGCAGATGCAGTATATTCCAATATATTTATTAATGTTAATTTTTTTAACTGAAATTAACTATAAGAATATTTTTATTGATTATAAGAATATTTTGCTTCAAACTTTAGCGCTGCCGATGGATTGACTGGAGGACTTACTGGACTATTAGGAGGTGGAGGTGGTTTAGGAGATGTCGCTGATACTCTTAGCGATGCCACAGATAGCCTTGGAGGAACTGGGGGACTTTCTAATATCGTGGATACATTAGGTGGTGCTACCGGTGGTTTAGGAGGCTTAAAGGGTACTTTAGGAGGTATCACAAATGGCTTAGGTGGTGCTTCCGGGGGCATAGGCGGCTTAACCGGTGCCTTGGGCGGCATCACAGATGGCCTTGGATCCGGCGGTCTTACTAATGCCTTGGGCGGATTAGGTGGTGGATCCGGTGGTTTGGGTGGACTACTAGGAGGCTTATCTGGTTCCTCAAGCAGTAGCAAAAATGGCAATAACGGTAACAAAATGGCTATGCTTGGCAACGCCTTGAGAGGAGTAGCACCTGGCGGATTAGGTGGTTTAGCAGGAGGTTTAACAAATGGTTTAGGAGGTCTTCCTAATTCCTTGGGTGGGCTCACAAATGGTCTTGGAGGAGTTGGCGGAATTACAAACGGCTTGGGCGGATTAGCAAATGGAGCCAGTGGTTTAACTAATGGCTTAGGAGGTCTTCCTAATTCTTTGGGTGGGCTCACGAATGGTCTTGGAGGAGTTGGCGGACTAACTAACTCCTTGAGCGGATTAGCAGGTGGAGCCGGTGGATTAGGTGGACTAGCTGGTGGTGTAACGAAGGGTTTGGGTGGAATTCCTGGTTCTTTAGGAGGTCTTACAAACGGCCTTGGAGGTGTTGGTGGACTTACTAACTCCTTGAGCGGATTAGCAGGTGGTGCTGGTGGACTAGGTGGACTAGCTGGAGGTGTAACAAATGGTCTGGGTGGAATTCCTAGTTCTTTAGGCGGTCTTACAAATGGCCTTGGAGGTGTTGGCGGAATCACAAACTCCTTGGGCGGATTAACAAATGGAGCAAGTGGACTAGCTGGAGGTGTAACGAATGGTTTAAGTGGACTTCCTGGTTCCTTAGGCGGTCTTACAAATGGCCTTGGTGCTGGTGGACTCACTAACTCCTTGGGCGGATTAACAAATGGAGCCGGTGGATTAGGCGGACTAGCTGGAGGTGTAACAAATGGTTTAAGTGGACTTCCTAATTCATTAGGCGGTCTTACAAATGGTCTTGGGGGAGCTGGCGGAATCACAAATCCTTTGGGTAATCTACCAGGAGTAAGTGAACTCACTGACCAGCTAGGAAATTTTGGTGACCTAACCAATGGTTTGACAGGACTCACTGGCAATCTACCAGGATTTAATGATCTTAGCAATACATTTGGTAACATTCCTGGATTAAGCGGGCTCACCGGCATGATGAATTCACCATTTGGTGGTGCTCAAACTGAACAATCAGCACAAAGTGTTAGTTATGATGCCTTTGGAAATCCCGTTGTTAATAGCGTTGACGTATCAAGTGGACCATATGGAGCATCTACAACTCAAACTTCGACAGATTCTTATGGAAACACACAAGTTCAAACAAGCCAAAGTACACCTTCCAATTATGGAATGGGCGTCAATAATGCACAATCATCGACAACGGTGACTACTGATGCACTCGGAAATCCAACGGTCATGGAAACTGAAGTTACCAGTGGACCCCTTGGCAATTCAGTGACCCAAACGACTGCAGATTCATATGGAAATGTGGAAGTTCAAACAAGCCAAAATACAGGCCTAACCAATGAGCAATCTTCTACTACTATAACCAATGATGCTTTGGGAAATTCGGTAGTTACGGAAACTGATGTTACTAGTGGACCATATGGTTCTTCAGCAACTCAGGTCGTTGCAGATTCATATGGAAATACAGAGGTTGAAAGCGTACAAAGTAACATACCACCTGTTTTTATAAGCATGATCATTTGAACATGATAATTTTTGTTTATAAATATTTCCATATTATAAAATTTATTTAAATAAAATTTATTGATGTACTTGAAGTTGAGATTTTTTTATCTCACCCTAGGGTGAGTTATAGTACTAGCAAAATTTGAAAATAAAATTTTTTATTCATCTTTACGTTTCAAAGGTTTCTGAACATTTTGGCATACCTTAGAAAAAATGGATGCATGTAGGCGTGTGTGTATGTGTGTGTGCGTGTGTGTGTGCGGATAGAAATTTTCGTCGACGATTTTGAAAACACAGATCAACCGATGTGAATAATTCTAAAAACATTCGATTCGTATTGATGGGGAGACGTGGGTGATTTAGTTGTAGATTGAAGATTTTAAAAATCTCAAAAAAAAATTCTCTGAGTTTTCAAAAAATATAAGCCCATTTAAAAACATTCTGTTTTTGGTATGGAAATTTCCAGCAATTTTGCTCAAGACACGATGCCATGCACAACTAGTTACAATTTGTTAAAAAATTATGAACATGTAAAATGTTAAACAATAATTATAATATAATAACTAAGCATTATTACTGTTAATTAATATCTATATCTTGCTTTTTAAAAGTAAAATAATAAATTTTGTACCTTTTTATGTTATTTATTTTTATGAAGAAGAGTCCAATTAGGAGTCAAAAAGTACAAAGTAAAAAAATGTAATCATAATTTAGTTTTATTCAAAATAATGAAATAGATTCCTGTTAAAAAATAGTTTCAGTCATTAAATTCGATGTAAGACACAAATTAATTCAATGAATTTCGGTTCCTGTTATTTTGTCTGTATTATTAATGACATAGCATAGCATGTTTACAAAATGTTTTTAAATGACTATTTATAAACAAATTAATTGTATTGCAAAATGTAAAAGATTCTCAAACTTTGCAAACACATTTTAAGAATCATATATCTACTAATCATATATATATATATATATATATATGTTTAATTTGAGTTTAATATTCGGGCGTAACATCAATAAAAATAGTATGAGTTTTTTTTAAAAAATTTATTTATTTAATCCATACGTTTCGGCTAGCCGTCTTAGCCATCATTCAGTGGTAATCAAGTTACTATAAAAATTAAAACTAAATAAAAATTAAACTAAATAAATTATATGAAAGGAAATTTCAAGAAAATACAATAATAATAATAATAGTAATAAAACACTTACAATTTTGTATCCTAATATAGCATATGAAACCATTATTAATCCATGGTATGAGTATGTGCACATTGATAAGATATGTATTTTTTAACACAAACATCACAAATGGTAAAACACACTAATAATCATGATAACTTGACAAGTTGTCGAAACTATGTATTTACTCTTCGGAGTTTAGGATAGAAATGTCACAACTTTCTCAAAGTAGTTTTGCATGTGTTGATATTTTTTGGAAATTTAAAAGGCGATGGGATTTTTTTGTTATTTTTAAGGATTTTGACACGCTATTAAGAAACCACGTGTTCGCTTCGTTCAGGGCCGTATTGTCAAAGCGTTTGTTTTATCACTTTGTCGTTATGTAATTGTAAAACAACCCCTCAGCGAATCTTCTTTTAATTGTATTCTCTTCAAAATGTAAAATTTAGGGTTAAAAAAATCGATATTATGATTAAAATTTTTAATATGCTCAGTTAACATTGTTTTTAAATTGCTTGGGATTTTTTGAATTATTTTTGTGTTGATTAAGGCGTTTTACTCAGGTTTTGGCTAGTTTCTCCAATATAAAAGAGTTCGCAATTAGAGCAATTAATTTGATATACCAAATTCCTGAGGCGGTCAAAATTGAACTTAGATTTCATTTGTGTAAAAATTGAACTAAGGGTTGCATCACAATTACATACCAACGAATGCCACACTGTTGAAATATTTTTTCCACGAGAAATATAAATCTTTTACGTACGGTAGGCAAATGACACCAGTATATGATTCTAAGTCTAAACGGTTTTATGGTCTGTGAGGTCTTTTTGTTTGTTAAAATGTAACTGCGTCTGTTATTTATGACCGAGTTGATTATGTTTTCGTAGGATATGA